ATAGATAGATAGATAGATAGATAGATAGATAGATAGATAGATAGATAGATAGATAGATAGATAGATAGGATACTGTAGATATAGATTCGTTTATTTTAATTTTACATAGCATAAAATAATACCCTGGTCTGAGTCAAGCAGAGAGAAGAAAGATCTCATATATATACACATACACATATACACATACACACACACACACACACACACACACACACACAATTTGAGAATAGAGTTCTGAGTTTATGCTTTTGAGAAACCTTACTAACAAAATTCCCAGTATCTAAAATAGAATATGTATCTGGTTTTTAATGACCATTGTTTCAAATCCAGAGATAAGTACTCAATAAAAATGGATTTAAAACAGATTTGAGTTTAATATATTTGTGTTCACTATCAATGCTGTATTAACCCAGCTTATTTTATTAAGTCCTTTTAAACATAAATCAACACTTTCCTTCTTTTTCTAGGTTATAATCATCAGCACCTCCGTGAGGATCAAAGCCAGAAGTCTCCTGAATTCTACAGCAGAACTGCCTCAGAATCAAATGTGTATCTGAATACCTTTCATTATCCTAATTCTAATCTGAAAGACCACACCTTTGATACGCTTAGTTTAGATAGCTCGGACAGTATGGAGACAAGTATATCTGCCTGTTCCCCAGATAATATTTCCAGGTACATTGTGGCACTTTTTAATTTTTCCAGAAAATACAACACAATAATTAAACATACCAGAATATTTTATAATTAAATATGAGTTTATTAAAATGTAGTTTTGTAGATCGTAGAGAGTACAAGAAAAACATTTTATTTTTAGAAATACTCAGTCAATACTGAGAACTATTTATGAAAGTAGATATAGTTATTATAATTGAGAAGATAGGAAATTGGGAATATTACATCTCTTCTGCCTATTTAATGACCAGTTATTTCTGGTTTTCCATCAATTGTTATTTAGCAGCCATTTCATTTGAGTAGATGAAATGTTTCCTTCTTGACTGATGGTTGAAATATAAGTCTCTTTAAGTACTAGTATTTTTCTTCTTCCTTCCATCTCTTATTCTGTGTCACATTTTCCTGTGTATGATTTCAATGATAGGAAGTTCTTTTAGTTGAAGAGTAATAAGATTAAATAACACATAAATAATAATTTAACTTAAAATTGACCACAGACTGTATTCTTAATGATGATTTTGCTGAAAACAGCAGTTTATCTACAGCATTGATTTCTTTGGAAGCTTCTGAGGTCGTGTTGTCTCATAAGTAAAATCCTGGTCTACTTGAATACCCATGTTGACTCGCATTAATCTGACAAAAATGTTCTTTGTTTTTGCTCTTTGTTTTAGGTATTTTTGCTGATTGATTGATTGATTGATTGATTGATCCTTTGCTTTTTTTGTATATCTGTGGAAAAAACAAGCAGTTGGCTAAACTGCTTTTGATAAGTAATTCAACTATGAAGGAAATACATAGAAAACAATAAAAAAGTCTAGAAATATATTTTAATGGATTGAAATTTCTCAATATTTCAGTTATTATTTCTGGTTTTGTTACAGTGCCAGTACTGCAAATGTGGCAAGAATAGAAGAGATGGAAAGACTTTTAAAACAAGCTCATGCTGAGAAGACACGATTGCTTGAATCCAGGGTAATGATATATATAGAAACTTCGAAGATACTCCATTGTTGAAGTTGTATGTCCATTAGATTTTGAAATTAGTATGGTATATTTTCAAAGAAGTTGACAGGACCTGCCTTATAATCAATTTCAATATGATCAGCCAACACAGATTTAAAAGTGTATAGTTACCCTGGTTTATTTATTACAATGTAGTCCAAAACTAGTCTGGTAAAATAAGCAAATTAAGTTGTTGCTTGAGATAATCTTATTTTTAAGGACATGAATGATAAAGTTTGTGGCCTAAGAGAGGTGTCTATAACAACACATTACGTATTATAAAAAAGGAATCAATCTCCTATTTGCTATGGTGGTTGGAATATTGGTTTGGAACTAGAAATATTCAGGTCACTATGATTTTCTGTCAGTGCCACCTATGGTATAAAGTTATTTTGAGAATAAAAGAGAGAGACCATGCTACTTACCTTGCTTTGAACTTTTTTGAAGAGGAGTTTGGAAGTTTTTTGAATCTATGGAACCTGTTAGTTACAAAAAAGAAGTAAAGAAAATTTCTGAAAAATTCTAGTATTCAAATAGTTTAACAAAATGTTTTTTTGCCCTTAATCTTTCGTATAACTCCATCAACATAATTGGAAAACCTCTTATAAAAAGTAAATATAACAAATTTGATTTAACAAAAAAATGTTAAGTCTGCTTTTCTGAACCAACACAACTCCTCCTATCTAACAACATACATGTTTTAGACTATAAATCCTATGGCCCCTAACAGTGAATATTCAGGACACTAATTTTGGAAAAAAATTTAAGGGAAACAGTAATTTCTTCTATATTTTGAAGTGTTTAAATAATCTGGTTTAATACAGCATTGATACTGAACATGAATATATTAAACCTAAATCTACTTTAAGAGCTATTTTTGAGTCCCATTGTGTTATTCAAGTATCATTACAAGAAGGATGCAAACTCCGTGTTATCAAGGCTCCAGAATTAAACTCTTGATGACTATCTAATGCCTTGAGTATTATACATGTGGGTATATGTCCTTAATTGTACCATAGATCCATCCAGTATTTGTCTTTGTATTTAAACTACAACATCAATAGCTTTTAAAAATAAACATCTCAATATATTTTATATTCAGTAATATAATCCAATGATTCCCCAAAATGTTGACAGAAATAAAACTTTATGAATGGGACAAAACCACCTCAGGCCCCAAGGCAGAGTGGGTGAATGGACTCTTATGTATTATTCTTGTGCTTCAGATGTTTGCTAATATTTTCTATATTTTTATGTTTTTATTGTGTGTCAGAGGTGAACAATGATTATTCTAATTTTTATCAAGTAAAAAAAAATGCAAACCAGTGCCTTGCCCCAAGCTGAATGAAGAAAATCCCACTCCACACAATCAGAAAGCAGATAGGAGACATGCACATATCACAAATAGAGGGGCAATAATCATCCAAATCTGAAGAGGATGAAAAACTGGCAAAACTCTTATTACTTTCACCCATTCTCATTTACCAGGGCTCAGAGCCTGGGAGGTAGATTAGAAAACAGTACATTTAAATTAGTTCAACTTGTGTTAAAACTATGCATTTTTTAACAAAGTGGAGAGTGTACATTTATGTTAGGCCTCCTGTATTCTTTTAGGAACGAGAAATGGAAGTTAAAAAAAAGGCACTAGAAGAAGAAAAGCGTCGTAGAGAACAGTTAGAAAAAAGGTTACAAGAAGAAACTAGTCATCGACAAAAACTAATTGAAAAAGAAGTCAAGATACGTGAAAAGCAGAGAAGCCAGGTATGTAATATCTTAAAACAGAAAAAAATACAGCTGTTTGAAAGGAAGAGAAGATGTTCATATGTATTAATAGATCATTTTGTTGGACCAAGATTAGAAGGACCTTGGTACAAGTCTACACTTATCAAAGACCAGCATAGCAATTTTTATTAAAAAGTAGAGATATCATTGCAGGTTATATACAAGTGATGAAAATGTAGAGCAAATAGATGATCTCTACCCTGAAAAGATGGGGAAATTGATTTTTTTTTATAAATTTGCAAATGTAGGCAATAAATTAGTGGATAATGTTCTGTCTGTTGTGATGATTGTATGTTTATTAAAATAAGCTAAAATGGTTCTCTATAGAACATACTTCTCATTTTGTTATATGAAACACGAAGGAGAGATGTCAGGAGAAACCTAACCTAAATGCTGTTGAAATGGGGTCTTTAAGAACACCTAACTTTTTTTCTACACTTTGCATAATGTTTCTTATCCGAAAAGGGAAGAAAAAAGTGGACTAATTGTAATAAGAAGAACAGAAAATTTTAATACCAATATTATTTGTATCTTTGTTTTAGTCTCGTCCCCTGACCCGTTATTTGCCAGTCAGAAAGGAAGATTTTGATCTGCGTGGCCACATAGAGACAGCTGGTCATAATATAGAGACTTGTTACCATGTCTCACTCACTGAGAAGACTTGCCGAGGCTTTCTTGTTAAGATGGGAGGGAAAATTAAAACCTGGAAAAAACGATGGTTTGTGTTTGATAGAAACAAGAGAACATTTTCTTATTATGCAGGTGAGTGATGATCTTAGTTTTGACATGGCATTCTTCCTGTTGCTGTACTAAGATTATTAAATTCATATATTCTATTGTATTTCCCCGAAAATAAGACAGGGTCTTTATTTTGACCCACGAAATATGGCCTTGGCCTTATTATAGGGGGAAGGCTTATTATTTTCTGGGGCAGGCAAGAAGCGAGGTGTGCCTTTTACCTTTCCAGCTCCGTCGTGTTCCTCGCCATTGTGTCTAGGGAAGCCGCTGATTTAAAAAAACCTTCTCGTGAGTTCTATCAAACTTCTTGAAGTCACGAGAAGGGTTTCTCTTTTTTTTTTACCACGGGTTTCCCTGGACACAATGGCGAGGACCGCGGCAGACCTGGAAAGGTAAGAGGCGCGCCTTGCGGCCCAACACCGCCCACCTCGCCCCAATGGTAAAGGCAGCCTGCGTGGTCCCCTTCCCCACCGTACCTTTAGCGAGGGGTGGCAGGTTGAGAGGGGCTCGAAGCACGCGTCCTAGCATTACCGGAGACTGGCAGCTCCACTGTGTTCCCTGCCCTTTCGTCCAGGGAAGCCCCTTGTAAAAAAACCTCACAAGTTGAACTCATGAGGTTTTTTTTACAAGGGGCTTCCCTGACAAAAGAGCAAGGAACGCAGCGGAGCTGTCAGTCTCCAATAGCAGTAGGACATGCATCTCACTTCTTCCTCCACTGCTACCCCTCACTAAAGGGATGTTGGGGAAAGGAAGCAGCCAGGCTGCCCTTATCATTGGGGCTTGGTGGGAGGTGTTCTTTTTGCATGAGAGGGAATGGGGTGCGAGTCGCATTGCTGGCCTGCCACCTCCCACCCCCAATGTAACGGCTGCCTGGCTGCTTCTCTTCCTCGACGTCCCTTTAGCAAGGGGGGGAGAGAAATGAGACGCACGCCCTAGCGTGGAATGGGACTGTTCTCCTCCTGCCCTTCGCCACGCCTATTTTGCCCCCGGGTTTCTCCCCCAGTCATCCACCTCTACCACTTTGCCTCCACTGTTAGGGACCTGGCTGTTTGTCCTGGGTAATGGGACTCCTCTTATGTCCCCAGCCCTTCCTCACAGGCCTTTGGGAGAGATACTCTTCACACCGGCCCTTTGGGCTCAAAAGACAGTTAGCCGCCAGCCAATCAGAGGAAGGGAAGGGAGAAAGAGAGAGACAGGGAGGGAGAAAGTGTTTTGTGTCGAGTTTCCAGTTGCCTCGGGTCTGAGCTAGAAAATCTAATAAGTCCTTTGCATTCCTCCCATATTTGATATTGATATTATCAAATCAAACTGATACCCAAGTAAAACACAAGTTTATTTTAAATTAAATAGAGGTCTTAATGTTAATCTGTAATCTTTATGATGGCTTGTTTGTTTCAATCCATTTTTTTATTTTACTATAGACAAACATGAAACTAAATTAAAAGGAGTAATTTATTTCCAAGCCATTGAAGAAGTCTATTATGATCATTTAAAGAATGCTTGCAAGGTAAGAAAAGATGCATATCTTGCTTAGCATATATTTTTAATGTTAGATGAAGTAGACATTAATTATTATATAGGTAATAATAGAAAAGACCAATTAATAGCAAAAAGCTGATGGTTTGGAGAACAGTATATGAAAATATAAGAGAAATACAGGGGAATTAATAAAGTCTTTGAAATGAAATGTACTATCCAGATGCTAAGAAAATTTAAATATAATTACTTTCTTACCATTAATTAAAATTAATTTACAAATAAAAGTTATATTTGGATCAAGCTCACATGATTATGCTTAGGTTGATTAGTATCCACATTTATAAGTTTTTTTATTGTAATGAAACCGAGGCAAAAATATTCTGTTCAAAAAACTTAATGAGACTATAGATCTTATGGACATTCTGATTTTGACAGTCTATACAGATCATGGTTTTATGCTAGTTTCTTTGCTTCCCTACCTACATATAGAATTTTCCAGCTAATAAAATAAATGCAGTACAATAGAGAACTAGTATTCCACTAGAAATATGCAGTGATGGCAAACTGTTTGGACCCAGTATATCAATTCTTTCTTTCTCTCTCCCTCCCTCTCTCTCTCTCTCCTTCTCTCTCTCTCTCTCCCTCTCTTTCTTTCTCTCCTCCCTCCCTCCCCCCCTCTCTCTCTCCCTCCCTCCCTCTCCCTCTCTTCCTCTCTCCCTCTCTCTCTCTCACACACACAAACACACACCCCATTCCCACCCTGGACAAAAGGGGCATCTCTGGATCCCCACCCCAGAATCTTTTCACCTCTCTCGTAATCTCTCATCTGGAACTTCTGGAAGTCATTTGAGAAGGCCCATTGTCACAGAGCCTCTGGAGCATCAGAAAATTATGAAATAATGTTAGCATAATTTAGAGATGCATCAGAGGTTCTGTGAGAGCAAGGACCTCTCTCAGAACCTCCAGAGGATTAGAGAGCCTGACGTGTCATCAAAAATGGCATATGTCAACTGTGACACACATTATAGGTTCATCATCACTGGAAAAATATGTTTTCATATGAATCTGTTCAAAATCCTAGTTTCGAACCTAAAATGTATACAATCTGTGCAGCCTCTAGGTCAGTGTTTCTCAACCTTGGCAACTTGAAGATGTCTGGACTTCAACTCCCATGCTGGCTGGGGAATTCTGGGAGTTGAAGTCCGGACATCTTCAAGTTGCCAAGGTTGAAAAACACTGCTCTAGGTGTTGCAGAACTACAGTTCCCAGCCCACATAACTGGTAATGTTGGGACATGATCTGTGTCAACTATGGCAACTTTATGAGTTGACAATCTGTTTTTTACCCAAAATAAGAAAGTTTTGATTTTAAATCAGTCCCTCATCACAAAATAACGAACAGTATATACAAAGAAAAGTTATACAGATAAACAATACATAGTGTAGGGTAATGTTATATGACACATTATATGTCGTTTCTATTTGTGTGTGTCTCTGTGTGAGAGACAGAGAGTATGTTTGTTGACTGCCAGTAGCCACATTCCTAAGAGGACTGAACCAGGATGAAAATAAATGTTTATTTTAACTAAATCGATAGCTAAATCAATCAAGAACTAGTAATGAAAATGGCATATAAAATTATGCACTCAATTATATTTCAAATCAGCTACATTCTTTATTTCACAACTATGCAGAAAAATAGTAAAATGTAATATTGAATAGTAAAATGTAATATTGTTTCAGAATGTATAATATCAATATATTATATAAACTTTACTTTCTTTCCAGAGTCCTAACCCATTGCTTACCTTCAGCGTTAAAACTCATGACAGAATATATTATATGGTGGCCCCATCACCAGAAGCTATGCGAATATGGATGGATGTAATAGTTACAGGAGCAGAAGGTTACACACACTTCATGTTGTAGTTAAATGTAAAGCAAAGTTTCAACAATAGGGCATAATGCAATAATAGCTGTGTTTGTGAGGGTGGAAAGCCATATATGGTCATATTTGACAAGTCATATGTATAAAATTCTATTACTAGACCTAATCTTATATCTCAAAAGGAAATGCATCATATGTAAGGCAACATGAAATTCTGGTGAGATTGACTTTATTTTGTTATGTATTAGATTCATTAGATGTTGACACAACAGACAAAATCCCCTCTAAAAGATCAGTACCCTTCAAAAATGAATAACCGGATATTCATAAGCCAATTTCTGTGGCATTTTCTTACAAGTTCTACCAGGCAAAACTTTCCTTATGGAAAAAATGCCATTAAGTTAACAGTGTTGCTATGCTTTTAAGTATAGTATTTTGTATTATGAAAGTGAGAAAGAAAGATACGATGCCTCTATATTTAATGTACAGGGTTTATGAACAANGGAAGCTTCTGAGGTCGTGTTGTCTCATAAGTAAAATCCTGGTCTACTTGAATACCCATGTTGACTCGCATTAATCTGACAAAAATGTTCTTTGTTTTTGCTCTTTGTTTTAGGTATTTTTGCTGATTGATTGATTGATTGATTGATTGATCCTTTGCTTTTTTTGTATATCTGTGGAAAAAACAAGCAGTTGGCTAAACTGCTTTTGATAAGTAATTCAACTATGAAGGAAATACATAGAAAACAATAAAAAAGTCTAGAAATATATTTTAATGGATTGAAATTTCTCAATATTTCAGTTATTATTTCTGGTTTTGTTACAGTGCCAGTACTGCAAATGTGGCAAGAATAGAAGAGATGGAAAGACTTTTAAAACAAGCTCATGCTGAGAAGACACGATTGCTTGAATCCAGGGTAATGATATATATAGAAACTTCGAAGATACTCCATTGTTGAAGTTGTATGTCCATTAGATTTTGAAATTAGTATGGTATATTTTCAAAGAAGTTGACAGGACCTGCCTTATAATCAATTTCAATATGATCAGCCAACACAGATTTAAAAGTGTATAGTTACCCTGGTTTATTTATTACAATGTAGTCCAAAACTAGTCTGGTAAAATAAGCAAATTAAGTTGTTGCTTGAGATAATCTTATTTTTAAGGACATGAATGATAAAGTTTGTGGCCTAAGAGAGGTGTCTATAACAACACATTACGTATTATAAAAAAGGAATCAATCTCCTATTTGCTATGGTGGTTGGAATATTGGTTTGGAACTAGAAATATTCAGGTCACTATGATTTTCTGTCAGTGCCACCTATGGTATAAAGTTATTTTGAGAATAAAAGAGAGAGACCATGCTACTTACCTTGCTTTGAACTTTTTTGAAGAGGAGTTTGGAAGTTTTTTGAATCTATGGAACCTGTTAGTTACAAAAAAGAAGTAAAGAAAATTTCTGAAAAATTCTAGTATTCAAATAGTTTAACAAAATGTTTTTTTGCCCTTAATCTTTCGTATAACTCCATCAACATAATTGGAAAACCTCTTATAAAAAGTAAATATAACAAATTTGATTTAACAAAAAAATGTTAAGTCTGCTTTTCTGAACCAACACAACTCCTCCTATCTAACAACATACATGTTTTAGACTATAAATCCTATGGCCCCTAACAGTGAATATTCAGGACACTAATTTTGGAAAAAAATTTAAGGGAAACAGTAATTTCTTCTATATTTTGAAGTGTTTAAATAATCTGGTTTAATACAGCATTGATACTGAACATGAATATATTAAACCTAAATCTACTTTAAGAGCTATTTTTGAGTCCCATTGTGTTATTCAAGTATCATTACAAGAAGGATGCAAACTCCGTGTTATCAAGGCTCCAGAATTAAACTCTTGATGACTATCTAATGCCTTGAGTATTATACATGTGGGTATATGTCCTTAATTGTACCATAGATCCATCCAGTATTTGTCTTTGTATTTAAACTACAACATCAATAGCTTTTAAAAATAAACATCTCAATATATTTTATATTCAGTAATATAATCCAATGATTCCCCAAAATGTTGACAGAAATAAAACTTTATGAATGGGACAAAACCACCTCAGGCCCCAAGGCAGAGTGGGTGAATGGACTCTTATGTATTATTCTTGTGCTTCAGATGTTTGCTAATATTTTCTATATTTTTATGTTTTTATTGTGTGTCAGAGGTGAACAATGATTATTCTAATTTTTATCAAGTAAAAAAAAATGCAAACCAGTGCCTTGCCCCAAGCTGAATGAAGAAAATCCCACTCCACACAATCAGAAAGCAGATAGGAGACATGCACATATCACAAATAGAGGGGCAATAATCATCCAAATCTGAAGAGGATGAAAAACTGGCAAAACTCTTATTACTTTCACCCATTCTCATTTACCAGGGCTCAGAGCCTGGGAGGTAGATTAGAAAACAGTACATTTAAATTAGTTCAACTTGTGTTAAAACTATGCATTTTTTAACAAAGTGGAGAGTGTACATTTATGTTAGGCCTCCTGTATTCTTTTAGGAACGAGAAATGGAAGTTAAAAAAAAGGCACTAGAAGAAGAAAAGCGTCGTAGAGAACAGTTAGAAAAAAGGTTACAAGAAGAAACTAGTCATCGACAAAAACTAATTGAAAAAGAAGTCAAGATACGTGAAAAGCAGAGAAGCCAGGTATGTAATATCTTAAAACAGAAAAAAATACAGCTGTTTGAAAGGAAGAGAAGATGTTCATATGTATTAATAGATCATTTTGTTGGACCAAGATTAGAAGGACCTTGGTACAAGTCTACACTTATCAAAGACCAGCATAGCAATTTTTATTAAAAAGTAGAGATATCATTGCAGGTTATATACAAGTGATGAAAATGTAGAGCAAATAGATGATCTCTACCCTGAAAAGATGGGGAAATTGATTTTTTTTTATAAATTTGCAAATGTAGGCAATAAATTAGTGGATAATGTTCTGTCTGTTGTGATGATTGTATGTTTATTAAAATAAGCTAAAATGGTTCTCTATAGAACATACTTCTCATTTTGTTATATGAAACACGAAGGAGAGATGTCAGGAGAAACCTAACCTAAATGCTGTTGAAATGGGGTCTTTAAGAACACCTAACTTTTTTTCTACACTTTGCATAATGTTTCTTATCCGAAAAGGGAAGAAAAAAGTGGACTAATTGTAATAAGAAGAACAGAAAATTTTAATACCAATATTATTTGTATCTTTGTTTTAGTCTCGTCCCCTGACCCGTTATTTGCCAGTCAGAAAGGAAGATTTTGATCTGCGTGGCCACATAGAGACAGCTGGTCATAATATAGAGACTTGTTACCATGTCTCACTCACTGAGAAGACTTGCCGAGGCTTTCTTGTTAAGATGGGAGGGAAAATTAAAACCTGGAAAAAACGATGGTTTGTGTTTGATAGAAACAAGAGAACATTTTCTTATTATGCAGGTGAGTGATGATCTTAGTTTTGACATGGCATTCTTCCTGTTGCTGTACTAAGATTATTAAATTCATATATTCTATTGTATTTCCCCGAAAATAAGACAGGGTCTTTATTTTGACCCACGAAATATGGCCTTGGCCTTATTATAGGGGGAAGGCTTATTATTTTCTGGGGCAGGCAAGAAGCGAGGTGTGCCTTTTACCTTTCCAGCTCCGTCGTGTTCCTCGCCATTGTGTCTAGGGAAGCCGCTGATTTAAAAAAACCTTCTCGTGAGTTCTATCAAACTTCTTGAAGTCACGAGAAGGGTTTCTCTTTTTTTTTTACCACGGGTTTCCCTGGACACAATGGCGAGGACCGCGGCAGACCTGGAAAGGTAAGAGGCGCGCCTTGCGGCCCAACACCGCCCACCTCGCCCCAATGGTAAAGGCAGCCTGCGTGGTCCCCTTCCCCACCGTACCTTTAGCGAGGGGTGGCAGGTTGAGAGGGGCTCGAAGCACGCGTCCTAGCATTACCGGAGACTGGCAGCTCCACTGTGTTCCCTGCCCTTTCGTCCAGGGAAGCCCCTTGTAAAAAAACCTCACAAGTTGAACTCATGAGGTTTTTTTTACAAGGGGCTTCCCTGACAAAAGAGCAAGGAACGCAGCGGAGCTGTCAGTCTCCAATAGCAGTAGGACATGCATCTCACTTCTTCCTCCACTGCTACCCCTCACTAAAGGGATGTTGGGGAAAGGAAGCAGCCAGGCTGCCCTTATCATTGGGGCTTGGTGGGAGGTGTTCTTTTTGCATGAGAGGGAATGGGGTGCGAGTCGCATTGCTGGCCTGCCACCTCCCACCCCCAATGTAACGGCTGCCTGGCTGCTTCTCTTCCTCGACGTCCCTTTAGCAAGGGGGGGAGAGAAATGAGACGCACGCCCTAGCGTGGAATGGGACTGTTCTCCTCCTGCCCTTCGCCACGCCTATTTTGCCCCCGGGTTTCTCCCCCAGTCATCCACCTCTACCACTTTGCCTCCACTGTTAGGGACCTGGCTGTTTGTCCTGGGTAATGGGACTCCTCTTATGTCCCCAGCCCTTCCTCACAGGCCTTTGGGAGAGATACTCTTCACACCGGCCCTTTGGGCTCAAAAGACAGTTAGCCGCCAGCCAATCAGAGGAAGGGAAGGGAGAAAGAGAGAGACAGGGAGGGAGAAAGTGTTTTGTGTCGAGTTTCCAGTTGCCTCGGGTCTGAGCTAGAAAATCTAATAAGTCCTTTGCATTCCTCCCATATTTGATATTGATATTATCAAATCAAACTGATACCCAAGTAAAACACAAGTTTATTTTAAATTAAATAGAGGTCTTAATGTTAATCTGTAATCTTTATGATGGCTTGTTTGTTTCAATCCATTTTTTTATTTTACTATAGACAAACATGAAACTAAATTAAAAGGAGTAATTTATTTCCAAGCCATTGAAGAAGTCTATTATGATCATTTAAAGAATGCTTGCAAGGTAAGAAAAGATGCATATCTTGCTTAGCATATATTTTTAATGTTAGATGAAGTAGACATTAATTATTATATAGGTAATAATAGAAAAGACCAATTAATAGCAAAAAGCTGATGGTTTGGAGAACAGTATATGAAAATATAAGAGAAATACAGGGGAATTAATAAAGTCTTTGAAATGAAATGTACTATCCAGATGCTAAGAAAATTTAAATATAATTACTTTCTTACCATTAATTAAAATTAATTTACAAATAAAAGTTATATTTGGATCAAGCTCACATGATTATGCTTAGGTTGATTAGTATCCACATTTATAAGTTTTTTTATTGTAATGAAACCGAGGCAAAAATATTCTGTTCAAAAAACTTAATGAGACTATAGATCTTATGGACATTCTGATTTTGACAGTCTATACAGATCATGGTTTTATGCTAGTTTCTTTGCTTCCCTACCTACATATAGAATTTTCCAGCTAATAAAATAAATGCAGTACAATAGAGAACTAGTATTCCACTAGAAATATGCAGTGATGGCAAACTGTTTGGACCCAGTATATCAATTCTTTCTTTCTCTCTCCCTCCCTCTCTCTCTCTCTCCTTCTCTCTCTCTCTCTCCCTCTCTTTCTTTCTCTCCTCCCTCCCTCCCCCCCTCTCTCTCTCCCTCCCTCCCTCTCCCTCTCTTCCTCTCTCCCTCTCTCTCTCTCACACACACAAACACACACCCCATTCCCACCCTGGACAAAAGGGGCATCTCTGGATCCCCACCCCAGAATCTTTTCACCTCTCTCGTAATCTCTCATCTGGAACTTCTGGAAGTCATTTGAGAAGGCCCATTGTCACAGAGCCTCTGGAGCATCAGAAAATTATGAAATAATGTTAGCATAATTTAGAGATGCATCAGAGGTTCTGTGAGAGCAAGGACCTCTCTCAGAACCTCCAGAGGATTAGAGAGCCTGACGTGTCATCAAAAATGGCATATGTCAACTGTGACACACATTATAGGTTCATCATCACTGGAAAAATATGTTTTCATATGAATCTGTTCAAAATCCTAGTTTCGAACCTAAAATGTATACAATCTGTGCAGCCTCTAGGTCAGTGTTTCTCAACCTTGGCAACTTGAAGATGTCTGGACTTCAACTCCCATGCTGGCTGGGGAATTCTGGGAGTTGAAGTCCGGACATCTTCAAGTTGCCAAGGTTGAAAAACACTGCTCTAGGTGTTGCAGAACTACAGTTCCCAGCCCACATAACTGGTAATGTTGGGACATGATCTGTGTCAACTATGGCAACTTTATGAGTTGACAATCTGTTTTTTACCCAAAATAAGAAAGTTTTGATTTTAAATCAGTCCCTCATCACAAAATAACGAACAGTATATACAAAGAAAAGTTATACAGATAAACAATACATAGTGTAGGGTAATGTTATATGACACATTATATGTCGTTTCTATTTGTGTGTGTCTCTGTGTGAGAGACAGAGAGTATGTTTGTTGACTGCCAGTAGCCACATTCCTAAGAGGACTGAACCAGGATGAAAATAAATGTTTATTTTAACTAAATCGATAGCTAAATCAATCAAGAACTAGTAATGAAAATGGCATATAAAATTATGCACTCAATTATATTTCAAATCAGCTACATTCTTTATTTCACAACTATGCAGAAAAATAGTAAAATGTAATATTGAATAGTAAAATGTAATATTGTTTCAGAATGTATAATATCAATATATTATATAAACTTTACTTTCTTTCCAGAGTCCTAACCCATTGCTTACCTTCAGCGTTAAAACTCATGACAGAATATATTATATGGTGGCCCCATCACCAGAAGCTATGCGAATATGGATGGATGTAATAGTTACAGGAGCAGAAGGTTACACACACTTCATGTTGTAGTTAAATGTAAAGCAAAGTTTCAACAATAGGGCATAATGCAATAATAGCTGTGTTTGTGAGGGTGGAAAGCCATATATGGTCATATTTGACAAGTCATATGTATAAAATTCTATTACTAGACCTAATCTTATATCTCAAAAGGAAATGCATCATATGTAAGGCAACATGAAATTCTGGTGAGATTGACTTTATTTTGTTATGTATTAGATTCATTAGATGTTGACACAACAGACAAAATCCCCTCTAAAAGATCAGTACCCTTCAAAAATGAATAACCGGATATTCATAAGCCAATTTCTGTGGCATTTTTCCTTATGGAAAAAATGCCATTAAGTTAACAGTGTTGCTATGCTTTTAAGTATAGTATTTTGTATTATGAAAGTGAGAAAGAAAGATACGATGCCTCTATATTTAATGTACAGGGTTTATGAACAATTTTTTTGTTTTTTTCCTTCCAAGTATTTTATAGCAAATTTTAAACTACTGTTTGCAGTGTTTTTTGTCTTAAAACACAACCAAAGATTCATACCCCCGTGTGTTGAGATTTAATTGTATGTAATAGAACCGTTTTTAAATTCTTTTATATATGCTAGTGTTTTAAAATTTATCTGTATCTTTGAAATGTTGGATGTTATTTTGAATGTTAACAAAAATGATATCTTTAGGTATTTTAGCTTTTTTTTAGAGGATAGAAATCAGATAAAAATCTATAGTGAGCAATCATGTCTGTATTTCTACTGAGGCTGTTGCTTATTTTCTTAGCAAATTACAACTTCTTTACAAGAGTATTCCTTCACCAGTTACAGCGTAGTAGAATTAAGAACCATAATTAAAAAGTCATAACCATGTAAGCACCTCCCCAAATAACATATTTTTGTGCATAAAATGACAAGTCTTTGGAACAAGTATTCACAACTTTTCCATATAAAATAAATGATTGTAGTTATATTTGAATGTAGTTTAATATTCTCCCAACCTAAATTGGTTTATAAACTAGAATGAAGAATTTCTTAGGATATACCATTCTTAAGATCAGTCATGAAGAAAAGTCTTCAAATCTTTCCTGAATTATATTTCCATTGATGACGAAGCATTTCTTTTTGGCACACAGACATATTTTGCAGCTAGTTTGATAGGTGTCTGAATAGAAGCCAGGAAAACTTACTTTGCATCATAAACAAAATTGCAACAGTTCCATTACACATTCATTTTAGTGCTATACTTCAGATTTCATATTCTAGATCACTCTTTATGTTGTAACATAAAAAATTGTTTCACAAATGTACTAAAGAAACTATCATAATATTTATCTTGAATAAAGTGCAGTACAGTCCTTTCTGTTCCTTATTATGTCTGAAGAAATGATATGGGACCATAACTCAGTAACAGAGCCATATGCATTATGCAGATACTTCCAGGATTAAGCTCAGGCACCTCTGATCAAAAAATTATTTGATAGTCAGTATGATCTTGAGATCTTACCAAACTGCTCTCAGAGAGAATACTGGGCTAAATCATTAAGTCTTACGGTTTCCAGACTCCATGGGTCAATTAATTGATGGTCTGAAATCTATATCTAGCACTTGCCATATCATTTTTTTTTAATGCATTCAAGGGATCACCATGTTTTGTTCTTAAAATTATATATTCCTTAAAGATCATTTCATTTAAAATAAACCTATGGTCTTTAAATACTCTATTTAGAGGAAGTTTGGATTTTGAATCATGCTTGTATTTGATGTTGCCTTTTAATATTTTGATCTTATATATGCCATATTTTCAGTGCACTAAACTAAAAATCTTAAATCTCCTTAAGGAAATTATAAATAAGCCACTTTCAGAAATAGTTATTGAAATATACTGAATTTAGTATAGTATGTGATGCCAAGTAGCATGATTACAGTAGTTTGGAGATGCCACATATCTTCAGATGCATTTACATGAAAAATTACATAGAAACTTGCATTTAAATTGTTGAATCAGGGCTTAAAGTTATTTTTCTTTTAATTCAATGCAAATAAATAAAGAAGTATTAAACTTTAATTGTATATACACTCTGCAATATATGTTATTTAACTTACTGGTATTTACTCGTGTTTTTGTTCACCATAGAAAAAGGCATTATGTTTAATTCAGACTTAATCATATTAAAGTAAGCCCACTGAAATCTATCAAAATTAAGTTTGTATCAATAACATGAATTGCTTCCAGAATTTTGTTCTAGACACAATTCATCTAGATCCATCCCACTTTTAAAAAAATCAAATAGTAAAGCAAATGAAAAACTTAATTTGTGTCTTCTGAAGGAAAAGGAGTTTGAAAATTGTGCTTCACCAATGTTAGAAGATAAATTCCAGAATTTAATGCCATTGGTTTCACTGTTTCTAATGAATATTTTAATTTTACTTCTATATAAATTTTACAGGTTTTCTATTTTTTTGTATCTTGCATGTTGTAATGGCAGCATTTAAATAAATGTTAAAAACATTTTCAAATTCTGTGTCTGATTTCTCAATAATTTTCTGGGAACCTAATTGGTATAAAGTTCTAGAGATTTGAGATTTACTGTAGCTCTTAATGCAGTTACATAATGAGCAGCTCAGTCCTAAATATATATATGATAATAGAAGCAGTTGAACCACTTTAGGTTAATTGGAGGTGTGCTACCATCTGGTCTCATTCAAAGTTGGCTTTTATTAAATACTTATTTATTGCATTTAGTAATAATGTATTAAATTTATATGCAGGCCAACTGAGTCAAATTTCTTTAAAAACAACAGAAAAAAAGGCAAAATCATCATAAAACAAAACTAACAAAGATGGCGTAAGATTCATAATGAGGACAAAGGAAAAGAAGAAAAGGGGCGGGGAAACAGCCTTCAGGGCCCTTCCAAATACTGGCAGGGTCGGGGTTGTTTGAATCTTGGAGGAAGCTCATTCTGTAGAGCAGGCATTATTAAGGAAAAGGCACACTTCCAATAGACAGCATTGTTTTAAGGAACATAGTGCACCAATTCAGGCAGATCAGAATAGGTTTCTTTCTAAAAATGTTTACTGTTAAAATAATAAAATATAAGAAGACATACATTGAATAGTATAATACCATGTAACTGAAAAGTCTCAGTAAAAGATTGAAATGACTCATGTTGCCTCCTAGTGGTCAACATCACCCCAGATTTTTTTTCCCCTCCTCCAATCCTGTCCAATTCTCATAGACTGCCGGGACAAGTCCTTGCTGTTTTCTCAGCAAAGTTTTTCAGTAGTGATTTGCCATAGCTTCCTTCCCAGGGCTGAAAGTGACTAGTCCAAAGTCCACCCAACTGGGACCTGAGACGTATAAGCAATAGCACTTAGACTTATATCATCATCATCACCCCATAATCCCTTGCAGGGTGGAATTTGGGCAACTGCATGGAGTGTTTACTGGCCGGATGCCCTTCCTGTTGCCAATGCAGTTTTGTTCAGCAGATATATTCTCATTGTGCCCAGAGAGAAATATCTGCCTCTACCTAGGACTGAACTCACAGCCTCCTGATTGTGAGGTGAGAGCTCCATCTCTAGGCCACCATACCACTTCCAAAATGTATGCATTTAGACTTATATACCGTTTCATAATGCTTTACAACCCACTCTAAACAGTTTATTGAGTCAACATATTGCCCCTAACAATCTGGGTCCTCATTTTACCGACTTCAGAAGGATGGAAGGTTGAGTCAACCTTGAGCTGGTCAGAATCCAATTCCTGGAGTAAGCAGAGAGCTAGCCCTGCAGCATTGCATTCTAACAACTCTTGCGGTTTCTGCTACTTAACTGGCTATCATATAGGCTATGCACTGGATAAAAACAGAATTTCCCTCAACAGAAAGGGGGAGGGGGGTAAACATCAAGCAAAATCCTTTATAAATAGGGACATGATATAATGTAACATCTGTATCTCTGGCAATTTAAGAAAAACTATACACATTATTAATAAATAACCATGTAATAGGAGTCAGATAGCATTTTTTCCAACTAACAAAGTGTGTTAAAGTTTGTGTGAAATTGCAGTTCATTAAATGCACTGAGTGGCTTAATAAGATAGGGTAGTTACAAAGATCGCAAGTGAGACAGGTTACAACTACCTTATCAATAGTTACAGTACTTTTTTTTATAATCCAGTTTGTTGAAACTTTTTGGAATTGCCCCAATCAACTGATGCATGTGAGTTCAACAACCTCTTATTCAAAAACAGCCACTAATCCAATGTTTCTCAACCTCATTTGCTGGCTGGGGAATTCTGGGAGTTGAAGTCCAGTCATCTTCAAGTTGCCAAGGTTGAGAAACACTGCACTAATCGGAACAATTTCCTAGTTGAAAAAAGTGTTATCAGACTGCTTCTGATTTTTTTTGCCTCTACAGACTAACACAGCAAGATAATAATGTATATATTAGTAACACATTTCATATCATGTTCTGGTTTATTTACGCTTTCAAGCATCAGTCTAACAGATCATGCTCTTCAAAATAGTTTTTAAATCCACTTCTCAAAGCGCACTTCATCAAATGAATGTATAAATGAGGGGGTCCTTGCTGTTTAGTGGTCAGCTATTGAAAAAAATCAGGAAAGAAAAAAAACTAAAGTAAACAACCAATCCTCCAGTAAAATTTGGGAAAAAAACTTGTCTGCCAATTTAGAAATCTCTCACTTGGAAGATCTACTATAGAAAAAGCAGGCTTGTAGCTCTATTGTACCTCATAGAGATATGCACCATAGAGACAAAAGCGGTTGTGCACCAAGAGCGGTACCGAGTTGGCTTATGCGCATGCCTAATTGACGCTGCATCTCCCTCCTTCTGCGCATGCTCTTTCGCTGGCAAAGCAGCCGAAGGAAAAGGCGTGTGCCCGTTCCGCCGTCGGGCAGGAGGGACATGGCAGTAGCGGGCGTTACGAGAGTATTTTCGCGGGGGAAGCAGAAATGGGGTTCATCTGTCGCTCATAGGACAGGCTTAGGCTTCCCTCAGTTATTGGGTAAGTGCGGAGTGGGTGAGGCGAGTGGCCTGTCCTTGAGATCCCGCTTCGTCCCGCCGGCCGAAAAGGGCAGCAATCGAGGAGACGCCTCCACTTGCGCTAATTTGTAATTAAGATTGGGATACGATTGATGCCGGATTAGCACCTGAACGAAAATGCACGTGTCTTTTATGCATCAATGGAAAAGAATATATTCTTCTGTCCTAGTGGCTTCCCCTCAAAAAAATCACAAACAGATTTTCCCCCAAAACATTGAGCTTCGTTTTGTAAGTTCTTTCAATCAAGTCTAAATTCCCTTTTAATCCCCTTTCATTGCGTGGAGTCTTCAAGATTGAGCATGTTAAAGAGTGCTATTTTTGTGTGTGTATAAATTATTATATAGGCATTTTGCCCAGATATCCAAGTAATGCTGAATCACGTGCAGTTATTGTAAGTCTGAGTCTACCTGCGCGATCTAGGCTATTTTATTGTTAACAGCAAAAATCAACAATGCACACATTTTGAGTGCTGTAAACCTGTTTATTGAATGAAGGGTTTTCAGATGCAATATTTGGAATAGCCAGTTAGTGTGGTCACACTTACTGAAGGTGATTAAGATGATTGTATTTCCAGAAGGGAAGAAAGAAGTTGGAAGTTGGAAATAGTTATCATAAGTCACCCTGTATCTCTTCCCCTGTAGAGCAAGCTTGGAAAATAGTTTACAAATAGATTGTAAAACTATTACAAAACACTGTTTATTTTCTTATCTAAAATTATAATCCCATCCTTTGCATGTTAAGTGTTAAAAAAAGTAATCATGGTTTCATAAAAATAGATTTTTTTATTCCCGTTTTTGCCTCAACCATTGAAATAAATAAACTTTTAAGTGTGTGAATTGTGTCTGTTTTTATGTAGACTAGTACATCTGTAATCCAGGTTCAGTGTTCCAATATCTCAAGTTGCCACAAAGAAGAGGGAGTCAAAACTATTCTCCAAAGTACCTGAGGATAGAACAAGAAGCAATGGGTGGAAACTAATCAAGGAGTGAAGCAATTTAGAACTAAGGAGAAATTTCCTGATTTAGAACAATTAATCAGTGAAACAACTTGCCTCCAGAAGTTGTAAATGCTCCAACACTGGAAGTTTTTAATAAGAGATTAGAGAACCATTAGTTTGAAGTGGTGTAAGGTTTCCTGCCTAAGCTGGAAAGACCTCCAAGGTCCCTTCCAACTCTGTTATTCTGTACTTATTAAGGAATACCTCTTTATTGTGAGCTGGTTAGCTTTTAGTCTATGGCAAAAGATTATTGGACATTCACAGATCTAACATAGTGTTGTTTGGTAGATTCCACACTTAATTAATTTTGTGACTCGTTAGGATGTATACAGAAACAGTTCTGACCTTTGTCTTTCTGTGATGAGTGGGAGGTGCTGGTTAAGTAGTTTTAACTCCCTCCAAACATTTTAAAGATTTTTTTAAAAAAATATTTATATTTATAAATACGTATACATAGTTTATAAATCAGACATAGTTAATAAGTCAGACATTAGCATATGAATTTCCCACAAATACACTATGTGGAAATTTGTGAAAGAGCATAGGTGGAAATTGTAAAACTAAAAGTTGAACATCATATAAAATTAATAAAATATTATAAATCAGAATCATTTTCTCAAATTTCCTAGATTCAACCATGTCTTTTCAAAGTGTTTGGGATCCCAAAACATGCCCCAAACTTTATGTTGTGACTCCATATCTAAAAGTTGTGAATTTCAGCCTTAACATGTGGATTTAATCAATGTCAGTTTCTTTTTATTTGTATAAAAATGTTTTAATCTTGTCACCAAAATATGAATGGTTTGCTTATGTATTTATTTATTTTGTTTAGGTTGTAAACAGAAATCATCACACAGTGTGCTTAACCGGTCTGATCAACCCAAGCTAGCTTATAATAAGCTGAAAGGCAGGAGTCCAGGGGTTGTCTTCCTGCCTGGTATTTTTTCAAATATGAATGGTGTAAAGGCACTTGCATTAGAAGATTTCTGCAAATCAGTTGGTCATGCTTTTGTAAGGTACATTTAAAAAAAAAAACTTCCTGTTGATTGGTAACATGTAATTAACTAATTTATATGTGACTTTCTAAATTATTGCTTTGTTGTTAAATTTATAAATCCTGCCTGTCGGGTACCTTAATGTTATATATAAATTAACAGTACTGCTAAAAACACATGCATGATAATCCACTCATTAAATTGAAAAACTAGTATAGAATATTACGACCCTCTAAAGTGGAACTGGTAACTTTTATTTTCTGCTATGTGGGTTCTTTATCCAAACCTATCCTCTATTGAAAGTGTGACATATAATAGGTCTCTAGCAATGATGATAGTGAGGTATAAAGGTAGGATCAACAAGGACCAGGTTATCCAAGGGACCATCTCCCATTGTTTCTGCCATTTGATACATTCAGACAGAATGAGCAAACTCTGAGTCCTTTGTTGCCATTTGT